ATGCTTGTAGGAGTCCAAAGTGTTCGTATATAAACATCGAATTTCATCATGTTTTGCCTCTATGTTCCAATGCAGACTACCATTTACAGCCCTAATTGTACTTAACTGTTGGAGTTGTATCTACAATATCTTGTTACTTGTATGTTTGGGCACTGGACTGCAGTCTCTCAAAGTAGATCGAATACTAAGTTGAATTTGACTTTCATACTGCACTAAGCATCAGCTGATCAACAGTTACTCGTCATCATTGACCACCAGTCATGTTGATTACTGTGCCAAATAAGGAGTTAATTGTCGTTGATTAGGAAAGAAGTGATTAGACGGGATATAGATTCAGCGAGTTCCTTCCTTCCGACGGGGATTCGTGATTCACGGAGGAGGTATACCACGATGCACGAACGTAGGAGGTAAATGGATATGAATAATAGTTTAGTGTTTTCTGAGTATAATTGCATTAAATATATGTTTGTTAGCTTGGAAAGAAGTAGCGTACTAGGTGCAACCATTGTCTCTTTTCTGTTGTAATAGCGCTCTGATCAGTTTGTCTGTAGTAGCGCTCAATAAGAATAAATTATTATTATTATTATTATTATTATTATTGAAGGTTCACTCACGAGGCATGAATTTGACGCACCAATTTTTTGCTAGCTATGATACGAATGAACATTTTAATCATCATTATCATCATCAAGTGTCTGGTTTGTTAGAGACATTGACAGTCACGGCCCTCCAATCCTCTCTATTATCTGCCCTCCTTAAATAACTGATATTGCTGATTTAATTTTTGGTAGCCCATTTGTTCAGGTTTTACAGATTATGTTAGGCGTTGCCTTCCCCTGCTTCTCTTTCCTGCAATCTTCCCTGTTAATATTGTTTTCCCCATCAATTATCCTTTCTGTATGATTATGTGACCAACAAATTGCATTGGCCTCTTTCTTATTGTGTTGATGAGTGATGATTTTACTCTTTCTTTTCTGAAAACTTCTTCATTTAGTTATCTTCTCTGTCCATGATATATTCATGATCTTTCTCAAGAACCAGGCCTCTGTATATAGCCTCTAATCTTCTTTCAACTTTCTTAAATTTCAAGCTCTCCGTTTATGTTCAGCCACCCCCCCCCCCCCCCCTCTCTCTCTCTCTCTCTCTCTCTCTCCCTCCCTCCCTCTCTCTCTCTCTCTCTTCTCTTCTCTATTTCTCCCTCTCTCTCTCTCTCTCTCTCTCTCTCTCAGCCTCTCTCTTTCAGTCCGTTTACTCCTCTTTGATACCCATTTGCTACCCGTCAATGAGGGGAAAGTGCTTCATATACGTCACTAACCATAATAATTCCAATGTATGTGATTCCAGACTATACATGCTGCTATATGGTTACAATCCATTGGCTAAAGGTACCCCTATTCATAAGAAGCATAGTATCCGATGTCCTTGCTTTCACGCATATACTGTCCATTAAGTTTATGAGGGGGAATACTCGGGGATGGATGGATCAGGGACACATCCCTGGATGGATCATGTAATGGCTGATCACATATCCAAAAGGGTACCCTCGTAATTTCATAGAGAGAATTTAATGTCAACAATAAACGATATTCCTATTTACATATGTCGAAGTCATACCAGTGAGAAGAAGAAAAAACCCACCCGTCCCACACACACACACAAAATCCTTTTCATTAATTTTAAAATCCATTAGTAACGTCCCAAGCATGCCTATATTATATATTGACTTCATTCCTAATTAAAGGTCCTGTCCCTGCGCTATAGAATTTTAGTCCTGTATTCATGATATACCTTTAATTATTCTATCTAGTATGTCTTTACTAAAAAATAAAAGTGATTGAATTGTGCAAACGTTAATCTTAAATCGCTAGTAAAAGTTAAAAGTAAAAATGTGTTAAACAGAATCTTTCTCTCTCTCCCTCTCCTCCCACTCTCTCTCTCTCTCTCTCTCTCTCTGTCCCTACCTTCACCCGTCTTTCTCGCTCTCTCTTTATTTGTATATGTTTCCCCCTTCCAAAGCAACCCTTTATTATGCGATATCAAACATGGAAATATACAACCACAATACAATCATGCAAAAGTTGATATTGACATCTCTTCTCTAAACTTAAATGCAAGAAAAGCTTATACATGACAAGCAAATGTCAATCATGTAACGGGTTCTATTCAAATTGCTGTTCATTCATATGGCAAAATGTGATTTATTACTTGATTTTTTTTCTTTTCTCCTTTCTTTTCTGTGTTTTTATTTGTCATTGTGGCGACCTTGAGTGCCATTATGAGTTTTTAAAACACATTCATATGACAAAAGATGATTTTAACATGATTTTGTATTTCTTTGTTTTCTGAGTTGGTTTCTATTGGTCATTGTGGCGACCTGAAGTATCATTAAAACCTAAAACACATTTAGACTTCAAATGATCCCTAGATTGTACCTGCTGTATTGCTTATTGGCAGAAAATAGAGGAACCCTGTAGTATTTATTAGTAACGTTTTTATTTATTAATATAGGTTTTCCCGGCCAATTTCGTCAAAGCAGCAATCAACTTCATTAACGTGCATTCATGTTCGAGCAAATTTTCTCCACTCGTTGCTCCCCTGTTTCATATTAAAACTTGTTGCATTCAATTTCGTTTCGAGTCACTGAATTTTCTAAACATGCACATTCAAATTAAAGCTTGATTCAGTCAATTTGGAAATGCGTAAGGGTCATTCAATTTCGCCAATGTTGAGTGGAAGGAGAATTCTTCGGCGAATTGCGGTTTCATTTTCGTCTACGGGCAACCTCTTTCGCAATCGGGTCATTCAAATTAAAACTAGACTTCATAATTATAGTATGAGGCTCGACATTTATTCGGATATTCAGTATTTCATGTTCATTTATTTATTCTTTTTCTCTATGATCTTTTCTGACATGATTTCCCATTATATAATCTTCTTATTTGTCTGATATATTTATATTGCATTTTATGTTTATCTTTCTTTAGACATTCTTTATTTTTGTTGAAACATCTCTTTATTCATATCTTCATATTTTTCATTATAGAGGTCTTAGAGGTTATTTTTTAAATGGTTTGTTTTTATCAATCTTGATTGATTAGATGACCTTTCTTTTTTCCACTTAGCATCTTTTCTTTATTCATCATTGTATTTTGTTTCCATCATGTCCATGTCTATTAAAGCTAAACTCTACCTCTGTCCAGGATCTGTTTGTATATAGCTTGTGCTTGGAAGAGAAGTCACAAATTGTGCACTTTCTCTGGGGACAGTTACCTATGTAATGACACATATCCACTAACGAATACGCACGTCAGTCATCCAATTAAGCTTTGCATAAAATTATTCAAACAGAAGTATATTAAGACTTAGTGACAAATTCATCAAATGAAAAGCAATGCACAAATGTCACATATGTATGCCTAATCACGAAATTGAATGCACGAATACATACCACCGTCTGTCCGGCGCGAATTTGAATGCTCTTTGCACGCTTTTCTAAATTGAATGCTCGTTTTGCACGTCTCATTGACAAGAGTATGAAATCGCATGCTACTGATGCTACTAAATCAAATTGAATGACGCAATTACCTTTTTAAATGTTGATCCACATAGTCATTCAATTTCGCACGAACTTGAATGAACGTAACGTTAATTCGGATGCTAAGTTTACGAAGTTGGGCGGGAAAACCTATATTATTATTAATTCACCATAACCCAATTTGTTCAACTGTCAAAGTTGTGTCATATTTTCTTCCACAAGTGTTATCGTTTTTTGTTTTATCCGCTCAGAGTCAATCTTCCACCTCCAAACAGCACCATTTCCTGTGGCTGTATACTAACCCACAATAAGGCGGAAAGAAGGCATATGACATGACCTCGGTCTTTACCGTTTATACACTCCCCCACTAAACCAACCCTCTCGATCCCAAACGAATACTAACACGGACTGTATAACGATGACTTCAGGAGGACAGGAATGAAAGGGTTTTAAAAGGTGTCTTATCACACGTTATCTAGGATGGAAAAAAATCGTCATTGTCCTTTCTAATGTGTGACATATAAACCAAGTTGACGTTGTACAAGAATATTGAGTGACGCGAGCTTGGTAGTCAGTTGTGTTTCGCATTCTTAAAAGCCCGCTCTTTTCTCGTCAACCCGCATTTTGCACACCCGACACCGATCTTAAAATATCGCGAGTTTAACCCAACCTGGCTCTTGAATAGCATACGTCTCCTTGGTATTCGGATCAAAAATGGATCATTCATAATCGCATTTATGACCTTTATATAGGAGGAATGATTGATGGAGAAATTGATACCATAGGATTTTACTGTGATTTTTTGTACTCGATATTTCATACAGAAACTTTATAGCTCACAGATGCTTTGGATTTTGACAGTGACTTGTTAACATGATTTGCGTGTACGTGTTTTATTTATCGTTCAACTGCTCTAACATGTGTTTTTAATTAGACCATGGACGCATAAAAGATCTACAGCGACATTGAGGCCGGTAATGCAACCCTTTCTGTTATCTGTTTCACTTTCACAGAACAATGTCGCTCTGAAAAAGGCCAGAGAATTGGATCCTACACACTTTTCGCAAGTTTGTCAAATTGAAGCCTTTTGAGCAGAACTCATAATACTGGACGATTTGATAGATCTTTAAGCCACCATGGATAACATGACAGTATCCACAGCCGTCGGACACACACCAACCGAGATAGTGCACACGTTGAGTGCTAACGACATCGTATCCATAGTGGTGTACGTGGTCATTGGTACTTTCGGCATCATAGGAAACACGCTCGTCATGATCGTATTCGGGTTGCTAACACAGAAGAAAAGTCAGGTGAATATGTTCATATTCGACCAGGCTCTCATTGACGGGTGCACGTCTGTTTTGCTGATCCTATTCGGGGTCGTCAACGTGTTCAGACCAAGAATCATGGCCTACGAAGAGGACCTCGATGACGGTGCTGGCAACGATACATCTGGCGTCACGGGACATTTCATCCACCTTTCGCCATCGACGGCGGAGTTTTTATGTCGATTCTGGTGGTCGCGGTTCTTCCTCTTCGCTAGTTTTGCGATCTCGACATGGAACTTGACGGTGATGTCGATTGAGCGATACTGGGCAGTGCTTCATCCGATGACGTACTCACGAAACTTCAGCAGGCGACGAGCCTTGATCATGATGCTTCTGATTTGGCTCATTGCTCCTATCATGCAATATGTCCCAACAATTTTCCAGTGGACATGCGGCCCTGGCTCTTGTGTCTTTGAGGCATCGTGGTCCAAAGCTGCAGGAATCGTCCTAGGAGTGTCTCTGTTCATCTGGGAGCTCGTCCTCCCTGTCTGCATCATGGCCTTTGTCTATTACAATATCATCACCGAGATGAGGAAAAAGAAAATCGCATTGCAGCAGAAGAAGAAAAAGTTGGTGGACCCACCAAGTGCCACAAGTACACCTACCAGGATGCCAAACAGAGGAGCATCTAAGATCGTACATCCCTCCAGGAATATCACCATGACGCTCTGTATCCTCTTCGCCGTCTACACCATATGCTGGACCCCAAACCAAATCACCTTCCTACAGTTCAACTTCGGAGGACCTTTGAACTTTACAGGAGCCTGGTATCACATCACAGTGACCTTAGCGTTCTTGAACTGTTGCGTGAACCCCTTCATCTATGCTCTTAGATTACAAAAGTTCAAAAAGGGCATGGCCATGCTGATGCAAGGACGATGGCATCGCAGGTCACGGGAAAGCAGAGCAAAAATCACGGAATCGACCAGTTTTAATGGTCTGGACTCACATACTGTGTAATTTTATTTTTGACAGAAGTATAATACTGTATATTTATAGTAAGATTTGATCTTCAACCAATTGTTTTTGAGGAAATATGTATGTGTTTGTATTATTAAAACGATGGCACAGACTTTAGAAGAAAGAAAAAAACCTATGGTAATTTCCAGAGCCTTGTCCGTCACATTATGACATGTGCGAATAACACAATGGCCGCGTATTATATAATCTTAACATGATATCAATGGGATACAATATTGCCCCCGAGTTTATTTACTAGAAAGTAATTGCGATTGTGTTTATATTGTTGTTTTAAATTCCTTTTCATCTCCTATATCATGCCTCTACAACTTAGTCTGCTTAGATTGTTCCTCGTTTTCTTGAAAAGTAACAATTAGTATTAATGCCTTTTCCACTGATTGTGGTTGATTACCCCTCGCCCCTCAAAATGATCTGCCTGCAAATTTCGATTTGTTTTTTCCTTCGATTATTGTGTAGGTGAGATGAGCCTCTTGGGGTTATATATAACTCGTTTGGTATAACACCCCACCCCCTTACAAAATGTTGTTGTTAGTATGTTTAGAGTGGCGGTTGAGGGATATATGAAACGAACTAACTCCATAAAAGCCGAAAATAGACATTGTAAATAAATGATCCTTGGAAACTGAACTAGTCATTTATATGTCATTGCAATATCTTTCATTTGTATTTATGTATGTAGAAGAGATATTGTTTTGTTAAATTTCTATCAAAAGAGTAGGCTACTATCAACAAATGTTGGATTCTGGTAAAGAAAACAACAACGAAAATGCGTTGCAATTTCCATTTTGCATTTAATTACTATCATAACTTCTTATTGTGTAAGTTCGTACTATTATGGGTGTGCCACGTCTGGTAACCAGAGTAACGGTTAAATTCACTCTAATGGAACACAATGCATCAAATATTTAGCGAATTTGGTAATAAATTCTGCCAAGAACAGGAAATAATCTCACTTCTCATTGTCGAAGGCTCTCAAAATATTTCGAAGCTATACCTGACATTTTATTCTAATCCTATATCGTGACAACGATAGTAATACGAGAGTACACTAAACCTTGGTTGACAAAAACAAATGTGTGGGGTTTCAGTTTGGAATTCCATTGAAAATGAATCGTGACTGTTATTTGATATTCCCTGCTACAGAAAAAATGTTAATTTGTCTTAAAATATCTGACGTCAATATATGCCCTGCCAATGAAAAGGGGAAAATTTTCCTTAAAATAGCTGACGTATTGCTCTGCTGAACAAAGGGATCATTTTCCTAGAAATATCTGACGTCTATGCCCTGCTATTGAAAACTGGATAATTTGCCTTAAAATATCTGACGTCCTTCAAAAGCTTTAGATTTCCGGGTACCACCAGAACTAAGTTGTTATTTTTTCGAATTGTTTTGCTCTAAACACTTGTTTGTTAATTTTCTTTGCCAAGCATGTAAACTGGTCTAGTTCAAAATGAAGATATCCCCCCCCCCCCCCTTAATTGCGACAAGAATTTTGTCTATATTGTTCATACTCACCATTTGTGTACCCTCATAGACGTGAATATCTGTATTTATACACAGGTATATTTATCATTTATCAAGAGGATACTTGTCTCGTACTCTTGCAAATTTGATAAATGAAATTTAAGTTTCTTATCATTGTCATTAATACTCAGTTGGTTATTTGTGATAATGTCCCACCTAAATTTTTAGATTATCTGTTTTATTATGCTACTGTCTTTGTCCTGAAATGCACAAAAGAAGAATGTGGCCCATTTTTCAAATCTTAGAAAAGACAACTGGAAATGAAATCATAATTTTGCTGTTGGTTTATCAGAGATTGTTCATACTCTTCCCCCTCCCTAAGATGAATCTTAGGTCCGTCCCTGCACGAGTCAATTTAATTAAAATATAGGCATAATTGAAATTGTAGTATTTTCCTAAAACCGTAAAAATTGAAAATGGATTATTAATCAAATCTTTGTGGCGAAGGAAGTAACCAGGTCCGCTTCTTCTTGAATCATCCAATAACCACAATTAAATCCGGTTCTGTCAAACAACATCTTTATGATTGAACATATTTTCTAAGTGTTTCTCAATTAATTGGGCACTGCTAGTTGTAAACTGCTCATGCATAATGAGGACGGGACACGGTTTTTATCCGTATCACTATGCCCCCCCCCCCCCCCAAAAGAAAGAAAAAGAAACTATTTGACAATGTTGTAAATTCTCGTTTGATTGAATTAAAAAAGCGGATCCAGGGGTGAAGGGGCCCCTTGGGGAAATATTAAATGATAATGACCTATTCAAATGTCTTTTATCGTGTTCTTTACTATCTAAATGATAGTAAAGAACACGATAATTCTGACTTTGGTTCTTTACTATCTAAATGATAATTCTGACTTTGGTATTTTGATGAATATGTAAATAAAACTGATCCCACGCTTTGAAATGTAGTTAATATTGTTTGTGGTATAGAACTAATTCACACTTATCCCTTTCTTCCTTCTCTCTCACTTTAAACCACCCCTTCCTCTCTCTCTCTCTCTCTCTCTCTCTCTATTTCTCTCTCTTTGTCTCTCCCTTCTCTTTCGACTCTCTCCGTCCCTCTCTTTTTTTCTCTCTCTCTTTCTCTCTCTCTCTCTCTCTCTCCCCACCCCCCCCCCCAAAAAAAAAATATATATCTTCAGAATTCTTTCATAAATAAAAATCGTACGAATACTTCCACATGCACTGCTATGCAGCTTTTAACTCCATAAGTGGAATCTTAAACAAAAGGAGGGACAAAATACCCCCTCCCTCCATTTGCCACTGTTGTGTGTGTAGAAAATGAATGCAACACTTCCAAGCCCCCCCCCCCCCCCCCCCCATCTGAAGATTTTTTTGGTGGGTCTGGTGGGGTACTGACATAATTCGTGGAGAGAAGAGATACTGTATATTGACATGTCCTTAACTAATGTGTGAAAGGACATCCTATGTGAAAGTATTCTTGTAATAATTGTTATAAAGCACGAGGATGAATACAATATGGGACATGCTACCATACAGGTGAAGGATATAATGCTGGTATATTATGTTATACAATATTGAAGGTGGACATCGAATACATTGAGTAGTAGCTTACACATTACACCATTTCTAATTCAAAGAACATCTCGCAGTAAACTCAAAACGACTTGTTATAAAAAGTAACAGAAAAACGTCATAAAAACAATAGACTTGACTTTCATGAGACCGCCCCCCCCCCCGAAGAATTAAAATGGCGACAAAAAACTGCTCAAAAATTGATCCAAAACGTGCATATTTGTCTGGAAATATGTACAGATTGTTGGTAAAAATAAAGGGGAAAAAAATCAAAAAGATAATATATCAATTTCGAAAAAACAAGGGTTTGGGGTGGTATAGTTACCGCCATGCACCCTGGCCCCTATACGCAGATATTATCGGCGCCCTTTTCGCGTCCCTGGTATTGCCGGATGGTGATGTCAAATCGGGGTCATTTATTAGAAACATCAGCGCTGAAAACAACCACTCTTGTCTAAACACACTTAAATAATATGCCAGCCAAAAACAATATGAATGAGACATGTATTATAAACATTGAACAAATGGTTGGTGTTCAATTTTCAACATGTACACCTTTGTTCATTTTCACATATTCGAATTTTGCCACATCATATTTACAAAAAAAAAAAAAAAAATCTTCGACAATGCTACCCCCGATAACCAGGCACGTAGCCACCGGTGGGGCACGGGGGGCACGTGCCCCCAACAAAATTCCAGGATCGGTTGAACTTTTTAGACCCCTTTTTTTTTTTACCTCGATCGATAACATGTACCCCCCCCCCCCCCCCCCCCCAAAAAAAAAAAAAAAAAAAAAAAAACATCAAACTCTGGCTACGTGCCTGCTGACAACCACTGGCTACGTGCCTGCTGACAACCACTGGCTACGTGCCTGCTGACAACCACTACAAACTGAAAACACTTTTTTGTAGCGATAATAATTGCACCGGTCTTTATTTTGTCAAAGGGTATAAGGTTACGATTCGTGTTGTAACTGAATAGTCTTGTTCAGACGGGGATTTGCTAGTCGGCGTAAGTTAATCCCTGCAGCAGTAAATACCTCATATATATTTCACTTACACCATTTATAGTTGTCGACACGCTCTTACTTGGACCTTCCACCGACCAGCGTAACTTACGGAAGTGGTGGAGCCCGCAACTAGTTGACCTCAACCCGCTAAACCGTGCGAAATAGGCTTATTTGCATTTCCGATTGTAACAAACAACCCTCTTGAAAGGAGATACTCCGAGTCCCGGGTGTAATTTGCCACTCTCCACCCAGGTGACAGGGCACCGTTGCAGAAAACTTACCATTGATGGCAACTACCATGGCAACAGGGCTCAACAGCCAATCAAAATCAAGGTTTCCATGGTAGTTCCATTAGTGGCAAAGTTACCATTGATGCTTGAGTGCTAGTCATTTGGCGGGTCGGCTATAACCGATCCCCGACACGGCACTAATGTTCTTTGGCAAGGCATTAATCTACATTTTCCACACTCGACCCAGGTGATGTTAATGGGTACCTGGCAGGATTTAATTCCTTAAAATTCTAGAGCGCTTTAATGGCAGCTACGCTAAAGTCGGGTAATGAATAATTTGTGCGCCTCGGAATAGAATTGTGTATAGACGGCGCTATATGAATGCCTTTTATTTTATTTAACCTGCTAGGGTAATAATGTGATGAGAGAGGCGGAAATGAGTGCTATAATGTAAGAACCCATTATTATTATTATGACGCGGTGTTGCCTAGAAAATACATTCCGCTTCCCTGTCAAAGACCCCCCAAGACCTTGACTCCGTTTTATTTCTGGATACGCAACAGATTTCAAACATCTGAAGTATTATGACAAGGATCTGTTGGCTTCCTGCTTTGGCAGACGATAGGAAATTTTACCATTGCCAACCGCTTCCGCATCCCGGTAATATATTGCGCCAAGGCAATTGTTTTCCTTGTTATTATGTCGATCTTAAACTAGTGACAATCACCAATCACCTGAAAATCATGAAAATATCGGATTGCATTGAAAATAGTATGTACATGATAGTACCTAAATCCTATAATGTTTTCAATCTGTTGTCGTAATTGTGTAATAAATCTACTTGTTTTCTGCAGAATATGGGTCATTTTGAAATCTTCAAACAGTCATTTCTTACCATGGTTACACCCCGGGAAAACAATGTTTGTAAATATGAGGCAACCAAGGGACCTGCGGCTTTAAAGCCCCACTGCAATAGCTACTTGCGCCCTCTATATGGCAAACAATGCCTAATAGGTGACTATCGGTTCCCCATGGTCCCCTTTTTCTTATGTTAAAGATACTATGTCCCTTTTGCAGCCAACATCAAATTGTGTAGAACTTTGCAGGAATTATGAATATGTAATGTATCATCCTATCTGTGAAATTTAAACGTTAGCAGTGTCCTAATATTCAAATTATGCAAGGAAAACCGTTTACTTGCTAGACTGCACTGTCAGACACTATTGAGTGACTGACTGGCTTTTTTTCTTCTTTTGTAATAACATACATAAAATGAGCTATAAAGGGTACATGAGCATTTGTCTACATCAATAACCCACTTCGGTCTTGTAAAGGCCAAAATTAAACTGATTGAATCTTTGCGCAGCATAAAACGTACGACCGTTCGGTACAATGGTCTGAAAATCAGACTATTACTTACTGGCTCTATAGCTCTTAAGTCGATTTGACAACTAAAAGTCGTTATTTTTCCACTTAAAGACATTTTCAAGCCCCCCCCCCCCTTTTTTTTTAATTTTTTTTAGGGAAGTCCTAAATTGAAATTACCTTTCAAATGCCGTTGGAATTTAACCTTTTCATTTTTTTGGCCTGCAAATGGGACATAGTACCTTTAATTGAGAGCTTATTATTTTGATGAGAGAACCACCTGTCATTGACCATGCATGGAGGTTAATCCCTCTTGGCCAAACTAGCGCAGAGGGGTTTTAATGTCACATCCAGTTCACTTGGCTAGTGAGGGTTATTATCCCATGCATGCAAGGATCATCAGTGCATTGATATGGCTCGAACCCAGGACCTGTTGTCACTGTTAAATGACCACTGCTCGTATGACTATTGTCATCCCGACAATAGTTTTGTTTTTCTTTCCCTTTCCTTTACTCTTCCTCAATTTCTCCTAACGCCCATAAGGGAATTCTCTTGACATTAGAACATATCAACAAACTTTTCTGTAAGGCTATTACATGGTGTAAAGGGAACATCTACAATAATATTTCTGACTACTTTGCTGAAAATACCAATTTTGTTATGACGTCCACCACCCTGATTAGAATATTTCATCAATTAAAGAAAAACTAGGAAGAAAAAAATTAGGACATTACTAAGAAGGTCTAACCATGGGTCAATAACTCGGTGGTCAGAGACTGCAGGAAGTTTGGAAACTGACATAAGGATTTTTATACAAAAACTATTGAGGATATAATGAATTAAAGAAAAACTAGGAAGAAAAAAATTAGGACATTACTAAGAAGGTCTAACCATGGGTCAATAACTCGGTGGTCAGAGACTGCAGGAAGTTTGGAAACTGACATAAGGATTTTTATACAAAAACTATTGAGGATATAATGAATTAGAAAGAAAATTTAGAGACATGATTGTTCAAATAAAGAAGAAATTATGAAGGAATGCTCGAGGAATTGCATGGATAAAAAGGTTGATTGCCATTCGTTCTTCAGCCGATGAACATTTTTTTATCCAAAACAATAGATCCTCGCCTCCGATCACAAACTGGTAGACAAAAGAATAACAGAGGGGGCGCAAGCAAATCCTGTCACACTTTGATACATAAATAGTTAATTTTCAATAATTCGTATTGCTGTTTGAATACCCCAGAATCCATGATTGATTTTAAAGGGATTCTTCAAAGATGACGTCATATCATTTTCATAATCCATAACAATAATCATGTTCTCATCACCTTTGGAGATGAATATTCAAAAGGTATTTTGAAAGGCTAAACATTCTTTACTTTTCCTGAAAAATTCGACTAAAACTGTAAATCGTCATTTAGATTTATGCAGGTCATTGGGTCAATCATTTCCTAAAGTCAAAGCTTCTGTTCGTTTTTACTTTCTGTTGACATGAATGGAAGTATAAGATTCAAAATGCAGCAGAAGAGAGAACACGTTCTTATCTTCTCGTATGTGTGTTCAGGAAGGGCCTACAGTTTCCTGAAGTTTAGTTTCGTTTATAATTAGTTTGGTTACCTACCTACATGTAGAGTGAAACTTTATACGTCTCCCCCCCCCCCCACACACACACACATTTTGGAAGTCTTGTTTTTCGTATTTTTTAAAGCATTATATTCAAGTTTTAAGTATCAAGTTTATTTGTCTTCCAGTAATCAGTGGCGGATCCAGGGGGGCCCGCCCCCCCCCCCTTGAGAAAAAAAAATCATGTAAAAACACGTGATTTTTTACCTTTTGGCGCCAGGGGGGAGGGGTACAAATTTCGAGGACCAAAAAAAAATGTGTTCACTACCCCCCCCCCCCCCCCCCCTCCCACTGAGCGACTTTTCGGCCGGCGCGATTTTCAAATTTTCGGGAGCAAAAAAAAAAAAAAGTTGGGCCCCCTCCTCTAAGAAATCCTGGATCCGCGCCTGCCAGAAATCATATGTAACAAAATATAATGAGTATAATCATAACAGTTGTAACAATGTATTCTACTCCTTTCCGGTCTTTACATAGGTTAGAACAAAGAAGAAAATTGGTAAAAATTCCAACCCCTGAATGAAACATCCTAGACGGGTCTGTATTGATGAAAGAAATTAAAAAAATAGTAATACTTGGCCTAATAATAAACTTCGTCGGGGCGAATCACTGAGGGACAAACATTGTCCGTTACAACGCACAGAGGGCGGCAAATAAATTTGACTGAAATTAGTGTGTTGACCTTCGCTTCGTGTATACGGAAACATGGATGCCATCTGAGCCGACGTACGTCCAAAAACCAAACAATACCAGATCGATCAACATTACACCCCTTAAATAGCTAATCAAAGGTAAGATTAACCATCCTCTTCTTTTTGTATCATATGTGCTACAATAAGCTATGCATTAGTTTTCATATCCTATCTCCAAACCCCATGGAATATTGATGTAAACCTATCTGATTGTTTGTAGTTTTGACATTCTCTTTCACTGGTCTTTGCCTGTGTGCTGTGACTGTGTGCTGCGCCTGCTGCTAATGTGTTGTGCAGTTACCAGTTGAATCATGAATGGACGTGTGTCACTGTGCATTCAATAATTCAGCATTTCATTATGTCCGAATTCCCTGGTCAAATTTGGAGCAATATCATTCACTATCCAAGCATTATTGAGCTTAAGACAAAATGTGATGCAATGATAAATTCAGAAAATACAGGATGACCACTCCAGCAGAGCCTCCCTACACATTGAGCGCTGTAAAGTGTAATCTCAATCTGTATGAAAAATGAAGGCTGACCAAAGTTTGGGGACATTTTTAGAACATATTACAAAATGTGATATTCGATCTATGATTTCTCATATTCTACACAAATTTATTAATTTCATTTATTACCAAATCGACGGCAAAGTTTTTTACTACAAATTGGTTCAACTAGAAAATTTATATTCGAAGGATTTCAGAGATAGACTATCACGATCTAAAAATTTGATGTCCGATCGCGCGTGCACGCTGCATCAAAAAAAGTCTTAAAAACAACGAGACCTAACTTCACGCATGGGAGTTTACAACTGATTAATACAAAAATGCGATCCATCAAAAATAAGGTAAATAAATAATTTGCAAAGCAAGATATCATACAATCACAGCAGTACCACTTTTACTTACAATTTTGAGGATATCTGGTCTCAAATGATGATTTCCAGAAGCTTATCGGTAAGTTGATAATTTTTCGGAACAGATACAAAAGACTGCATAATTTGCCAATTTTTTTTCAATATTTTCACAATTTCACACCCAATTCCAAAGAAAATTGGAGGTACACAGAGTTTGTACCTTAAATATGATGAAAATGTGAATTTTTAAAACTGAAGTAAAATACTTGACAAGTTTTAAGGATGCTGCAAAAAATATTTAGAGAAGTAGGGTGTCTGATTGCACACCCGATGTTGTGTGCTAAAATCCTTCATGCATGCCTAACATCTGTGCCAAGTGTAGTTCTGTAAACATAATGTAATGTAAACATGTTATGGTTATGTCATTCAAATGTATTTAACGGGTATGTATGAAATTACATGCTTTTAATTGATATATTTTTACAAATGTTTTATACAAAGATGGAATCTAAATAAATTGAATTGAATTGATCCAACAAGGTTGTACTTTCACTTGTGCATTGATCAGTACGTTATATCTTTTCTTTTGTCAGGACCAGATGAATCCTGCATATCAAGTCAACTTGCCGCCCGGGTACCCTCAATCAGGTAGGTGATGATTCAACAATTCATCCTTTGTTTGGTGCTAGAAGGGTTTTAACTCGTATACCTTAAAGTCCATCTGCACTAGGTCGGCCAGGAGGGATTAGACCTCCCTGCAGGGTAACTGACAGGTGGTTATGTCATCAAATCAGCTCTCAGTTTTCAGAAAAAGGGGACCATGGGAGACCAATGGTCACCGATAAGGCATTGTTTGCTACATGTATATGGAGGGCGCAAGAAGCTATAAGTAGTGCAGTGGGGTTTTAAAGGTAATACACAGTTATGTTAATATCTCAACAGGCTTGGATTATGAAATTTAAAATTTGCATTACCATTAGGGCTGTGCACAACAGTGTAATGAGGTACCCGAGTACACTCCCAGGCTCACAGGCGAATACTCGAATATTCGGACGCCATGTTTTTTTATAATTTTTTTGAATTTTTTTGAATTTTTTTGAATTTTTTTGAATTTTTTTGAATTTTTTTGAATTTTTTTTATTTTTTTTATTTTTGGATTTTTTTTTATTTTTTTTCTTGTTTTGCCACTACCATACCACTCGGCAGTATCTCAGGTCCCTCACTGAAATCGTATGCAACTTTACTTTGAGTTGCAGTTGAAGGCGCCGATTTAATAAGAATAATAACAGTAAACAATGCTGTTTTAAAAACCAAAGATGGCAGAATAATCCATTTTCCTCCAAGTCCAAACAGAAATCTGGACATTTGGTCCCAGTTTCTGAAAGGTGAGTTTGACAGTGTTTGAGTTGGGAAACATTTTTACCGACGGTACCATGCCAGCGGACGCCGCTCTCCCTGGCACGGGTAAGCGTCGGCCTGGACATTTTTTTTTTTTTTTTTTTTTTTTTTTTTTTTGCGGCCGAATATTCGGGTACAAGAAATCGTACCCGAGTAGTTGTCAACCGTGCGGGTACTCGAGCATTCGACTACCCGTCGCAGCCTTAATTACCATAGTGAAACCTAGCGTTAGAATTATAAGCAACTTTGATAAAATGGGCTCTAAAATACTAAGGATTTTGAGAAATTAACATATCAAAATTATTGATGCTCCCAAATTTCAAATAGCGCTTTCGGCCATACAGTGGTACATGTAGCTGCAACTATGAAAATCTTGGAATTTGCAGTTCTGATATATCATTTCCTAATGGGAATAGAAAATCAGTCAATTTTAGTCAAGAAACATTGTTTTGAAGGTAAGGTAATGTCAATCTTGAGAGGGAGCTATACAGCATAAAGAGTTTATTATTCACAGTTTCATCACTTCAGACTCGATTTCAACCGCGACAACGATCATTGAATATTGTAGGATGATCCGCAATATGCTTCCAATATATTCATGACCCCATACCAAAACTTTGTATTACCTTTAAGACAAGAGTTAATGCCCTTCTGGCTCTGAACAAGTGATATTCAATTCTCATCATCTCACATACATGTTTCTGTTTGGAGCCAGAAGGGCATTAATTCATAAACTTTAACACAGAGTTAATGCCCTTTTGGTTCTGAATAGACAATATTCTAAATATTTTGAATTTAGAATTATCTATAGTACAGGCAAATTATTGATGTTTCTGCCAACAGCACACAGGTGATAGAATTTAGTGCTTGCATACTTTATGACAAATGTTGACAAAACGACAAGACCTGTTTGAAGTATGCCCGACCATGCGGCCCAGAATGTAGTCAAATACTATTAAATAGGCCTCTTTAATAGCCTTAGCTATAGAATACAGTATTTTTATTGATTGTGTGAACTGATCTATTTTCTCAGTTTGGGCTATCCTATTAACTCCACCTTTAATAAGTAGATCAATAATATTGTCATTACCATATGACCAAACTTATGCAATTATCTTCTCTCCATGGAATTATGTTTGATGATTTATGACATTTTTTTAAATTTTTTTTTCTTGGTTTATTGAAGCCACTATGGTCCATGTACACTAATTATTGTTCGTTGACCATGTTGTTTGTATAATTTTAACATAAATGCGATGCCTTTTTTTGGTGTATTTTTAAATGTGTTTGGAAGTTGTGAGCATTTCAGCCATTGGCTGCTAATTGCGATTTGTATTCAGTGTTGGTAATCAGTGTTCATTCATTATCATTTCTGCAGGAATACCATCCGATACGAGAAATGTACCAATGCAAGGTGTAATGCCACCCCTGGCCTACTCACCTGCACTCTACACTGCTGTTAACCCCACGCTCAATCAACATGGCTCTATCAGTATGTATCACTACATATAATCATTCTTTGTTAGGCCAATTCTCTGCAATATGTCCTCTACGACAGATACGTTGTGATCTTTTAGATCCCTTGTTGGCCATACATTGCGAGACAAAGGAATATCACTAGTGATATTATTTTCGATGTGGTCTTTGTTCCACATTTTTTCATCCAGAGTAAAGAACCTGTTGATACAACCATCAAATAATTTTTTTTAATTTTTTTTAATAGTATTTTTGCCATTAGTCATGGTCATGCCAGGAGACTTTCATTCATTGAATTAAATATATGAATATAATCTCATGTCGTGTGGGACTCGTTGGTAGTTGTGGAGATGTTGTGGTCGGGTGAATCCATCACTGTGGATCACATGGTCCCGGTTGGAATCCCTGACATGGCACCAATATCCTTAAGCAAGAAATGTATTACTTTACCTTTGCCATATTCCACATAGGTGAGGTAAAGTTGTGCCCGGTATGAAGAAATTCCTGTATGCTACTGTAGCCGAGAAACTGTAGAGAGCATTATTATGGCAGCTCGGCTAGAGCTGGGGAAATAATATGATTGCATAGGCTTACGGGAGAACAATATAATAACTGATTAGGCTACCCTGGGTAAACAAAGCAGTAAGTAAATATTATAAATGTCACAGTTGGGAGGTCGATTCCTCAATGTAGCTTTATGGTGTTAAACATCATTCCCTTTTTAACTGGTAACTGTTTACTAACCCTTCCACTAACCCTTCAATTATTTTTCTTAAATTCATCTCCCGAAGTTTTTGTGGAAATCAGTTTGCCAATTGATTAAAATTTGTGTACATGTTGACAAATTTTAAAAGATTTCCAAGGCTTTGTTGACCTATCAATACTTTACTAAGCAAGGTGGATAACAGTAGGTATCACAGAAGAGCTGCGTTGAGTGGGGACACACAGAGCTCAACCACGCAAATTCTCTCTTTGTGAAGGAAGATTTTCATATCATGGAAAAAATAAATATTATAAAATTATATGTCTCTCGAAAGCTCAGGATTCTGTCTTTCATGTCATGTCATTTTCATCAAAATCCATTAATTACTTACGACACAGTTGCTTGAGATTTACCCTCTAATTCGTACGGTCTCACTTCGTTTGTCGCCATTTTTTTTTGACGGCCGATTTGTATCCCTAGTTTTAGCTCAATTCGCTTGAACGCCATTCGTCTTTGAGTTTTAAAAATCCACTGGTTGGAAAGAGCACATCTTAAGCTTTATTTTCATATAAAAACTGATGGGAGTATGTTTCAAAAAGATCGTGAAAAATCATAGTGAAAAGTTTAAAACAATTTTTCTATATCAGAAAAACATACTTTTAATTCAATTTTGATACGAGAAGAAAGAGAATTTACTGGAGAATACGATCATGTAAATATTAAGAATGACCGCTAAATGGCGCTAGAGCGCGAATCCGGTTAGTACAGCTTTACTCTGTGTATAATACGCACTGAGCAAAAGTGACTAAAGCGAGCAAGCCCCCAGCTTCGCACGCGGACCCGACGGGAAACGTGGCGGCCACGTGTCGCATCACCGCACCCGCCGCTTGCCGTCCCATCAAGATCCGAAACGGAGCATGAATCTGAGGCTTCAAATATCGAAACTGAGGCAGGATTTGCAGCATTTGGCGAACAAATTAGTAAATACATATATATTTCGACGGAATTATTATGCTATCGTAACCTAAACAGATTTTAAAGCGATCACAAGACCAATAATACATGTTTGTGTTTTTCCACTCGCAATTTTTCTCACACGTCATGCGAGTTAACTTTGAATTTCAAAGTGACTTTTTAAGAAATTCAAGAACAAACTTCTGTAATCTTTGTCAATTTATAGAGTGAAAATTTAATCAAATTTTGTCAGAAAAAAAATATTTTGTGTGTTTCAATCTACATCAAATAACTGTAATGACGGCTTTTCTGATCTTTGGATAATAATTATTAAATTCCAATTAAATTCAGGCAGTGTCTTTTCAGTAATCATATCTGATTGATGCACGTCTGTATGAAAACCCAACGACACACACACACACACTCGGTGATAGCTCGGCGGCCGTGCACCGCCCATACTGGTGTCTCTATTCTCATGTTGTGATTGCGAACCCACGCTTGTTTTCCCAGAGTTTTTAAATTTAAGATCGTGGATTCAATTTATGAATTTCAATTAAAAGGGATTTGTTTTTATTTTTGTTTATATAGTAAATAAGTTAGGTAGGCCTAGGGGGGAGGGAGGGGGTGGGGGGGGGGGGGGGGGGGGTAAGAGGACATTTTTTTTTTTTTTTGGTCTAAAAAAAATCATAACGACTCAGCCAACCGCTGAATAAGCGGGGGGGGGGGGGGGGGGATAAGAGGGCACTTTTTTTTTTGGGGGGGGGGTCAAGAAATTTTGTAATTTTCTCCGTTGGGGGGGGGGGGCCCTCTGGATCCGCCACTGCCATACTTTCTATTGATGTGCCAAAATTCATTCCCCTACCATTAACGGTTTTCAATTTAGGCAGACTTGAAAACACAAAAAAAAGCTTAAGGGTGCTTTAAAATATGAAGTTCTAAGAGTTTAGAGCCTTTTTTAAATGCCATTTAAAATTAATTTAAATGGATTTGATGGTCCAAACTTACAGAAATGATTAAGCTATATACATACCCTAGATATGCCGAAATTCAGCCCCACTTCATAGACACTCTTAAATCTAGCCATGTTTCAAAACCCATGAAAACTTGTTCCGGCGACGCAAAAATAGCCATATTTTGTCACACGCATCAAAATGGGCTTCATTTAATTATTTGAAAAATTCCACAAAAAAAATATTTGTCTAAAGAACCTGGAAAAAAATAGGCATGTAGAAATCCATACAGAGAACAGATTTCTTGAAAAGAAAGGTGATTCATCAATTAATTACAAAATTATGTCACCTTGAAAATGGCTAATTGTCAGTTATAGCCTAATTACGCAAAATTTGACCATTTCGTCTCTTATGTAAGTGGCCGTATTTTCAAAAGTACTAATTCAAATTTGACAAATGAGGTATCAAAACTCCTCTTTCCATGTGCTCTAAAATGAAATGGGCAGGGGAAATGAAATGTAGATACTTTCAAACTTTAGCTGTGATACCTAATAACAGGGAAACAGAGTATCTTGTTACCAAGTTGTATTAGTACTAAGAATCATGAATTCTAATCTGCTGTAGTCTGCAAATATTATTTTCACTGCAGGAGAGATTGCGATGAACATGTACTTTAAATATTAAAGGCATCGTTTAACAATGTTAAATCTGAGATGCATGGCCCTACATGTACATGTTATCAGTGTCTGTGATGTGGTTAACATTGAAGCCCTAAAAAAAAATGCGCTTCAAAATGATTATGAAGTGCCTCAAAATAGTAAAAAAATCTTTGAGCGACAGGTTTTACACATTTCCCCCATACACATTTCCCCCATACACATGTCCCCCATACACATGTCCCCCATACACATTTCCCCCAATAGACTGTAGTGTTATGAAAACCGTCAGGAAAACGCAAAATTTGGTTTCAATTTCCAATCATAAATATCCTGATAATCAGACAGGCGAATCGGCTTGTAAAAGTTCCTGACTGACCTAAACGTTTATAATTATGCAGCATGAGCTAAATCTAGGATTTTTTTTCAGAATCTGAGACAAAGTTACCCAATCCCTTTAAAGTAAATATTGGGCTGTATTGACATATTTTTTGACAGGGAGAATATGTTTTACCTACATCTCGTTAATTAAAGATAAAGACCAATTCTGGTAATGCGATTGCATTGTGAAAGAAACGTTGTGGAATCGATCAGAAAAGGTTGATCATCTAGCATATAGGTGTGTACTGCAAGGTTCTGGAATCATCAAAATGATAAGAAATTTTGGCCCTGTCTTGGTAAAGTTACAAGCACTGTACACAGAAAGATGTGTATGGGACTACGCGACACGTGCGTGATATCTGTCAGGTCCAAATAGATATAATAATTTACCAAATATATCAATTAGTAGGTGGTTTCTTGGCAAAATTTGTATTATCACGTATTAGTCAAAACATATTCTTTTACATGATTGGTAATAAAAGCTTCCATTTCATTTTTTGAGAGGGGAACGTTTCCAAAACTGATCTTTACCTTTAACGTGCATTCTCTCCATGAATGATCTTTGTTTAGCTGGTGCGAATGGTCCTGCAGGAGCTGGTGGAGGTCTACTCTATGAAAGCAGTGCATCTCCATTGATGCGGTCATATGGAAAAGGAAGTGAGTTAATATCCGGACACCTACCCCCTGGACATCCACCCCAAGTCAACTACCCCCTAGGACAACTATCCCCTGGACAACAACCCCCTTGGATAGTTGTCTAGATGGTAGTTGTCTGGGGGGTAGTTGTCCTAGGGGGTAGTTGTCCTAGAGGGTGTTTACCCTAGGAGTAGTTGTCTCGGGGGGGGGGGGGGGTAGTCCTAGGGGGTAGTTGTCCTTAGGGGGTAGTTGACTGGGGGTGGTTGTCCTAGGGGATAGTTGTCCGGGGGTAGTCGTCCTAGAGAGTGGTTGCCCTAGGGGTAGTTGTCGGGGGGGGGGGGTGGTAGTCGTCCTAGGGGGTAGTCGACTGGGGTGGTTATTCGGGGGATGGACGTCCAAGGGGTAGGTGTCCTAGAACCAATATCTTCATCATGATATCAAGTTTATTTTAACTGGATGACTTCTGAATTCTTTAATTTTCATAAGATTGATACAGGGAGTGCACAGTTCATGTAGGAAATACCGGTAGGTTAATAATAGCAGCAATATGAGAGATACAGTTTGAGTTTGGTAAACATTTACAGAAAATCTGATATTAGTATAAAAAGAATTATAAAGCTTAAAATTGTCATCAATTCAAATTAGTAACTATGATTTTCTTTGTAAGCACCTCTTCTATAAGCTTATTTTAGATCATGAATTTCTGTTTCCTTGTCTTGTAGTGAAGGAATAGATCTCATGTGTAAAGGGAGTTTGCAAAAACATTCATCCAGTAGTATATCTAGGGTATAGGGGAAATCTTTTTCCTCCAAAAATATTCTAATCTTTAGCATATCCCGTTATACATATTGGATTTTCATATTAAATCATCTATTGAAGATTTATGTAGAGGTTATTGATAATAATAATAATACATTTATAGAGCACAGAACTATCCAACATTAAGTTTATATTCTACTGCGCTACAAGAGCTCCTGATATGCTTAAATTTACAGTTAATTAAAAAGATGTGTTTTCAGTTTTTATTTAAAGATATTTACAGATGGTGATTTCCTGACTTCAAATGGCAAGTTAGTCCAGAGTTTTGGGGCTGCACAAGCAAATGCTTGATCACCTAGCATTATTTTTGTTTGGTGTTCTCTGTTCTCTCCACTTTGTTTGTGTAATGATGAAGTGTATTTCTTTTTGTACTACGCCCTCAGGTCCGTACGTACTGCCAGCGACTCACACCTCCTATTCCACTGGATTGAATACATCTCCTGCCCACACACAGTCGGCATATACACATTCACTCTCACAGGTAAATGGGCAAATTGGCAATATTTCTAGTATAAAATCTTAACCTGTTAACTCCTGAATTTCTCTCATTGCCATTGGCTTAATACATACACCACCTGGTTCCAGGAAGCAATGGATTTAATTCCCCTTTTTCTTCTCCTCTTTCATTTTAATGCCTTTAGAGTTGAGTTAAAGTTCAGGCCTGATAAAAACCTGATTTAAATTTGTTTCCTGAGACCAATATTTGACTATCAGTCGTCCTTTGTCTTCAGACATGAAATAGCCCCTGAAATGCCCAAAAGAGCCCCCGAAAATCAGAATCAGAATCAGAAAATCATGGAGTTCAAGGCAAAACAAATTTTAGAATGTTTTTTTCATGTAGGCAAGGTTGAAAAGTAGCCCCCCAAAAATAAATATTAATTTTTTTCCTTTTTGTCTACAGTCTAGTGGAGGTACGTTATATAGTGCACAGTCTGCCTACCCTCCGGGGCTGATACCAGGCCTAGCGCCACCAACTAACTTACTCCAAGCTCAACAACAACAACAGAGGCAACTCTATCTACAAAGCACGGCTCAGGTATGGTCTTAGCCGCCAACTTGGTTGCGCAATAGTATATTCAACAGTTAGTCAGAAATGTGATTGATATTTTGATTTAAATGATAAACCATTTTCAGCCTTAAGTATTCCTGTGATGTACATTCTGCACATCTCTTTGACATTGGTGTGAAATTCCATTTAGATGGGTCCTGGTGGATAATGAAGAGGGGTTTCAAATTGACGCCCTCCCCACTCAGTTTACAATTAACTTTGTAGGTGTCTGAAAAGGTGTAATCTGAATAAAGCCTGGCTAGACTTACATCCCTGTCTGAGTGGGTGGAATGATGGGGCTGTTTAATAAGCCAGTTCATAGTTGCAGTCTGAGCATGAGCAGATAAGGTCATTGCAGACCACACTGTAAAATACACGCAGAGGAAATACTGGATATTGTATTGAAATTACCGACCAATTCTTCGCACACGTACGGTATCCTCGATCGCTCAAACCATTTTTTAACATGTGAACCTATGGGTATTTCACCAAGACTGAACTATTTTCCCAGTAACCATGGTAACTGGGATTTTAGAACCATTTTTTAGAACTATTACATGGGTTTGGAATTTTACTGGGAATTTGACAGGAATTAAAGTTTATGAATGCAATTTTGACCAATCAGATGGCTGGATTCCTTAAGTGAGGTATATAATTGTTTTTATACGCTCAAGGGAAGGTTACAATTGGGCTATTGCCCTCGGCACGCCTCAGGCAATAGCTCAATTCTAACCTTCCCTTGAGCGTATAAAAACAACTATTTCTCTCAAAGCTACTATACTATTCAATGAGAGAGGGTAATATTCTGATTGCCTTGGAGCTACATGTAAGCTATTTTGAAAAAATTCTTATAAATCAAGTGTTATCAGTCACACAATCATTCTGACATTGGATTGTATCGCAACCAGCACTTAACCATGTCAACAAGACATTGATTACATAATGATTATTATTATTATTATTCATGTACTGAGAGTCAGAGATGCATTAACTCATATCCAGAGCTGCCAACCATTCTGTTTTTGCCGGAATTACTCTGTTTTTCCTCTAAATTACGGTATTACGCTTTTTCTTCTTTTTTTTTTCTTTTTCTTTTACATACTGCACGTCAAACAACTGCCCTAAAATAATCACAGATTCAATAGAACACTAATTTTAGAACATACTTGAAGAGAAAAATATTCTCAAAAAGAATGATATGCCGATAATACCAAAACAACCACACAAAAAATACCTGCTTGTATGGAAGAAACAGCATGATGAATGAGTATCTCTACATTGGAAGTGTGTCGCGCGTGGTTGTAAGTTTCGTTTTTATGAATTCCTTTTTTTGCTTGAAATTCCTTTTTTTTTTGCCATCATGATTCCTTTTTTGGGTCGCCCAAGGTTGGCAGCTCTGCATATCTTATTAGATATGTTACAATTCTCTTATAGCTCTTAACAGATGTACAATCAAACCTGCTTTAGCAAACACTTGAATAGAAAGATCGCCTGCCTACAGAGACCAAATATTTTGTTTCCCTTGAAAATGGTTTCTCATTGAAACATGTACTAAAGGAACCTTTCTACAAAGACCACCTTTTGTGTTTCCCTTGGGCGGTCTCTATAGACAGGTTTGACTGTAGTTGTAATGTAAGACCATTTCTTGTTTTCTCATCTCCTTCAGCCGGGCATGAACCCTGCACTTGGAATGAACCCAGCAGCAGCTGCGGCCTTAGCTGCTCGACAATCACCTGTACAAGGTATGCCAGTCAACCAGGCCCAACACTACCAGTACGCCATGATGTCAGCCCCGCCCGCTGGTAGCGTGTACCCCAACCCTACCTATTACCCCTCCTATGGTCCTGTCTACCACCAGAACAATGGGGCGATACCATAGTCTAGGAGGGATGAGAAGGGGACCAAGGTGGAAGTAAGGGTGTAAGAGGAGGAGACATGGGTAGCTGACTGCTTAGAGGGTGAGAGAGAATGAGAGAGAGAGAGCGTGAGAGAGAATATTTATGACCGAGTGAATGTATTAATGAGTGAGAGAATGATGGGTAATATATCATAGATTCAAAAGTGAGAGAGAGAGAGAGTGAGTGACACATGGTGTCTCATTCTTATTTGGTTTGAAGATAGAGACCATTTTGCTGATAAGTATCATGGATGTCTTTAGATAAAGCATTGTCATCATGTTTCACCAAGGAAGTGCCAAATAGGTTTCGCTTCCAAAAAAAGAAAAAAAATCATTGAAAATAAAAGAAAACAAGAAAAAAATTCCCATAACCATATAAAGAGGATATATCACTGTGTATTTTTAAACAATGCTCACAAATGGGGTTTAGATTTATGCCTTGGTCAAAGGTTTAGACCCTCTATGTGGACTGTATTACACACTGTGCATGACGCAATGAGTAGACTATGCTTAAAGCAGTTTTTACCATGTTTTAAGATACTTTAAGAATTCAAATCTTTGCTTACAGGGAGCAAATGGTCTCTGTATTAAGCCTATGGTAAGGTGAGAATTTGTTAGTCAATGGATTAATATGGTGCACATATGGTTATTAACAATGAGTAACCAAGTAAGGATGGAGAATCGTGAGTAAAGTTTTCAGGGATACGCCCAGTTATGATGGTAGTATATTGCCCATGCAATAGTATTAATGCGCCCAGTTAGGATGGAAGTATATTGCCAATGCAATAGTATTAATGTTTCATGAATGGTTTAGAGAATGAGAGTGTAGCAGTCACCATACATGTTTGAGTTTCAGTATTAGATTCACTTTTAATGGCAATATAGATGGAATTGTATTTCTCCAACATTAAGATAATATCAAAAGTTATTAGCAAAAGTAAAAAGATGATTGGAATAAGCTCGCAGGGATGTCTGATGGTTATAACATAAATATCAGACATAACTCACTGTTTGTGGTGTATTAAAATAGAATGCCTCCATATGTGATGAAGAGCAGACATTTATACAATCACTATTCTGGAACTGAGGATTAAAATAATTACCTATCTTCAGCCCCAAAATGGAGTTTTAGAAATTAGGCTAGGAAATTGGACCTTCTAACCACAGAATTGTCGACATATGATAATTGTAATAATTGCAATGATTTGTAAAATAAGACAAATGTCAGAAATTGTATTGACTTCAATGTTGTATATCCATAGAGAGAACAATATCAGATGCAAAATGTCTTGATGGAAATCAAATGATTTCTTTTTAAAATTATGATTCCCTGAATCCACTCCAGGTATAACTAAATGAAGTTCAAATGCATGTCAATACTAGAAGGAGTCATTTTGTATTACTAATCCTTAATTCACTTCCCCTTCTCATGCAAGGTTGACAGTTAAATAATCGCAGAATTTCATACCAAGTGAAAGAAAGTTTGCGTACATGTTAAATCTAGTGGAGAAGAATTCATATTTTGTGAAGTAGCTACTATTTATTCACATGTGAATTATTCTCTACAGTCTCTATAGGTCAGGAATCTTTTTTTAATCAGGCAATTTCTACTATTGCTGACCTGTAAATCTTAATAACGTTAGGAAAATATGACACCACTTCTGGTTGGTCCCTGAATGCAAGTATTCTGTCGGAAAGGAAGGAAATTATTATAGCTAGTACTATTTCTCTCCATTTGCTGTTTTAGGAATATTGTCGTATCTGAAATGGTGAAAACCGTTGTTTGTTAGTAGGTATGTCATTTTTGTTTGTACTTTTGTAAGAGCTACGAGAATCAAAAGTAGTTTATTGACGGCAATGTTCAAGAGATTTCTGTCAATTGAAATGTTCACTTTTTAACGATACTTTTAAGATGTGCTCTCTCTATATTAATGGGTGATGTTTATCATGTCTAGATTTAAGATCTCTACTTTGTATTCATTTTTCCACCCCCATTCCTTCTAATCCAATCAACGAGGTAGTACCTTACATTTGAACTGCTCCATCTATATTTTAAAGATGGTTTGTCCCTTTTGCAGACCTAAAGACCTGAAGTTCCACTAATCCAGTGGTATATTGAAGTGGTCTATGATAAGGAACTTCCCACAAAATGAAGAAAAAATGGAAACTGGCTTTCAAAAAAAAAATTGAATGTTTAATTCTAGATATTTATTTTCTGGACTTGAAAAATATTTAAAAATTAAGTCAACTGTTACATTTGTTGATTTGAGAATAGCTCCCTCTTCAGTTATTTAAAAACAGCTCTAAATTTTCATTTCTTACCAAGAAAGTTTAAGAACGTACTGTATGACTGTAAAATTTCATACACAATATCTAAATGATATATTTTAAACACTTTCCAAGTTTCTTTGAGTTTGCAAAACTCTGCAGAAGGGACCTACTGCCTTCAAAACACATACCGGTACATACAGAGATGGGGAAATATCATATTTACATATATGTAATAGGAACATGTTGGTATTTGGAGGCAGACTTATTCTTTTCCTGATATTTCTGTATTCATATTCATAATTAATATGTGATTTATCAATACTGTTGCCAGTAACTCATGAAGTACGTTTAGAGGCTTTTTCGTACATGTAGATGTTTTTATAATGTATTTTGCAGTACTTTTTTTTTTTTGTAGCTAAGCAAGCAACTCTAGAATCTTTCATCTCAGTTCTAATGTTTGTTTCATAAGAGGAAAGAGAATAGGTGGCAATTTCATACAATTTCATACTTCATAAGTCATGGGTCACCCTACATACAGATATGACTACAACTTAAAAACTGCCCTCTGGACAATTACATCTAGCCAATAACCCCCACCCCCCCCCCCTTTTTTCCCTCATGCACCTTCCCCGAGGGCATACATTGTATCTCATAATTGATTTTTTTTTTTTTAATTTTTTACAGAGATAGTCCTGTCTTGGGGTCTAGGTAAAGGCCTAGATGTTGGGGTAGCCATCGGGATTGTTATTGGGGGATTTCCCTGTGAGTGTTTTGGCCTTGGAAAAGGGGTGTAACTGTTGTGCAAGGGATTGGGGGGGGGGGGTAGGAGTAGCTGTCATAGGGTGTGAGTTATCAGGCGTTTTTAGCTCTTGGGTTAATGGTCCTCCAAGCACCGATTAGTAATTACATTGAGCTGTGTTATGAGAGATTTTATTATTCCTCCAAATTTCAAGCTGAGGGTGACTTCGTAGACTTTTGCACTGTACTGCATATGTAGGTGACTTTTCAATAATGGTTATCGCAATAAGTAAATGTCCATCGTACAAATATATATTGTTTATCGCAACTGAAGCCGGTAGAAGATAATACAGTCAAACCTGTCTATAGCGACCGCCCAAGGGAAACACAAAAAGTGGCCTTTGAAGACAGGTGGTCTTTGTAGACAGGTTCCTTAAGTACATGTTTCAATGAGAAACCATTTTCAAGGGAAGCAAAAAATGTGGTCCTTGTAGACAGGTGGTCTTTGTAGACAGGTGGTCACTAAAGCAGGTTTGACTGTACTAAATAGATTAAATGACTTGCAGGAATAGAAGACTATGAGAAGAAGATAATATCAAGAAGAAGGACCAAGGAAATACAGAGAGAGCTCTACCTTTTATGTCATCACAGTCCACTTAGAATTCTTATCTGTATTCTAATTACGGTGAATTATCATTATCAAGTCAATCATTTGTTTCAAAAACAATCTATACAAAATGCCTGCAACAAATTTGAAGATACTTTCTATCCAGTGCTTATAGAATTATCATCCTTATTGGCATTACAGCTTTGGTTTCTGCTGCAGTAAAGGCAATAATTTCTGTCTAGCTAATACATTGCTGCATACATGCATGACAAATTGAAATGAGATGTATAAAGGACTAAAATGTAGTTTTTATATATTGCATTACACTGCACATTTAATTAGTCTTGTGTAAAATTTGTGCACTTTAACAAATGTTGATAACATCTTTTACTTGCTATCAAAGATCATAACGGTATTGCGATTTTAAAATTAAAAGTGAAATGAAATTTGAAGAGCTAAAGTATTTGCTGACAAGGATATACCTAATACAGGACTCCACATTCACCTTTCGGAAGGAGTTACAGAATGAACTTTTAAAGTTCTGTATGCATGAGCCCTATGTTTAAAAAAGAAAAATGCAATTGTTGGGCACCCATGCGTGTGTCTGATGCGCCTGTTAGTGTTGAGCAACGCTAATCATGTGGGTTACATGGGGGAGGGGGGGGGGAGCACTCAGAACTGTCTTGCCTTTCTTATCAACTTTTATCTCATGACAAACCATTAAATACCAGTATTAGACACATTGGTTTGTGGGTTACCGTTAGCCATGCTAGTATTATTTTTATCTGTATGTACTGTAGGTGCTATTTATTGTCTGTAAGAGGCTATTATTTAATTTATTTACAATTACTTGTATTAAAGTATTCTACTTCTATTCAACTCAGTCTGTATGAGGCTGTAAAGGGCTTGTTTTCAATGGCAGTCAATGCTACCCTGCGTATATGAAACCATCGTGAATACGCAAACATATTTTTGTGTGTGTGTGTGGAATAAGGTTTAAAAAGAGAGGCACGTGTTCTTGTAATGAAGTGTACTTCATCGTTATTTATACGTATTAAGACCACAGAAAGGATGTATGAAAACATTGGCCATGCGTCATAGACAGGTGACCTTTCTAGACAGGTTCTACAGTGAACACAGGGAGACATGATACATGAAGGTGATCACTATGGCCTTTACATGGTGGATCTACAACACACAATTCTTCCTATATGTGGCCACTATAGAGAGGTGGCCATTATGATATGTCTTTTTTGTCCTAATTTTACTCCACTTGAGAACAGTATTTGGTAGGGTTTTTAACAGTATGTGTTAAAATGTAAGCTATTTTAAAGAGAATTTTTTGCTTAATGATGAAATTAACTCTGCTGGTGCCCATCATCAAACTAACTCCAAAACCAGTAATCGACAACCTCTGTGTGATTCACAGTAATATCATTCATGTTTATCAGTCATCAGTTATTAGTGTGGTGTACAAGTATTCTGATATACTGCCCTCTCCAGGTGAATCCTATTAAGTATTTTGCTATTTAAATATTATCTTCATGTATAGGAGTGAGATTGGAACTAATACAGAATTCCTTACTGAGAAATAAGTTTGTTTGTTTTATTCTTTTCATAGATGATTAGTTTAAAATGGCAGTGATATTAAATTTGTTTTGATTTATAAGAAATAAGACATGTATCTTTAATTACATTTCTCTGATAGTGTTCTGATCGTAATCAATATACACATTTCCCTCATCCGTCATCTTT